TAGTGTATTCGTAAATACAAGGTTGACGAATGATTAAGGGTTGTTATCCATGTTACCTGGCCCCTTTGACCTGAGAGTATCTCGGATTCTAGGGATCGTGGACAACCGCCGCTTGGAAGTGTTCATACACGGAACACCAGAAATCCTCTGTCCGACCTCACCAAAGGAAAGTTTGAGTATTTTATCACGCAGATAATTTTGCATCGTCCTACGATGAATTTGGACGAGTATTGCTGGGCTTGAACCAGCAATTTCTTGTCCAGTAGGAAATGTGTATAAACTACCCAAATTCTACTTATCAAATTGTGAAGGTTCCGTGGAAAAGGTGGCCGAATTCCACGGGTAAACACTGAGCTGAATGGCTATTCATCAAGGGGATTATATCAATGATCTTTCAAGTAGCAAAAGGGGGTAGGAGCAATGTACAAGGTGTGGCCTTGGTCAAAGGGGAGCCCAATGTACTAGGTAGTCATAGACTCAAGTAGCACGGTAAACACATACAAACTCTACTTATCAAACTCACCCAGATGATTCACCACTGCACCATCCAACCAAAGCATCAATAGCTGTACTAATGAATTGGCAAAAGTCCTGTCCGGAGATCAAAATATTGCCGCTTTCGGGACGGAACCCACGCTAAGCTTAATCTCGCCATCAGATCAGACTTCTCTACCCATTGGAGATTTTTGTATCCCAATTCTTATCATCAGACAGATTCTCATTTAATCTTTCATTTAATTCACAGTGTATTCCGTTATCTAGCTATGACAAAAACATTACATAATTCCAGTCCCAAAAAATCTAAACCTGCATCTAGTTCATCAATCAATTTTCCAAAAATCCCACTTTGATTTCCTAGTTTAATTTCCTTTGTTACCGTGCACTTTGATGTATTACACATTTAATCGTGAGTGTGAATTTTGAGGTCATTAGGAAGGGTATGGCTAGGTCGAGCGCGTGGACTGAATGAAGCTCCAATCAAATCCCATCTCGTTTGGCGTGAAAGATTGCTGCGGTGGGGAGTTTTGATGTGGTGTCTCGTGGAATAACTTCATCGGCATCGAGCCATTCGCCCGAACTTGGCGCTGAGAGAGCGGCCTATAGCCAGGCTCGTAGGACGCCGCAGACGAGTAATCTGCTTCCGTACTCCGACGTCCCCGCCGGCAGAATTAGAGTTCCTCTTCTGCATCATCGCAACTCCCCTCAGCAGCTGCATATTCTCTAATAAACTTTCCGCAGTCCACACTGAATGTGGGATTCCAGCTTAGTCAGCCGGCTGGTCAACATGAAACTCTTAACATCCTTGACACCTAATCTGTGCACATCATTTTGCATCGGGCAACGAGTGGTCCACATCTGTCAGCGGCATCCCCTACAAGCTTCCAGCGCTCACCGTAGAAAGTGCAGCGCCTGACTGGCAGGCCTCTTAAATTCCGCTATGGCTTCAGCTGTGACGTTGGAATTCGTCTGGATATTGTGAGATGGAGCGCCTTAGACGGAGTGCTCTCTGTTTCGCTGATTGGGGGGCCAGAGCCATCTCCAAGTGTACGATCTAAATAGTCGCGTGAGGGGTCGCACTGTTGGAAGTGAGGTGTAAAGGAGGCAGGAGGGCTTGTCGTATGCGAGGCACACGTACCCTTGGCCTGTTGACAGAGAGGACCTACATGTGCTTTATGTTGTTGGATGGAAAAAGGAAAGTCGTTTACAGCCTTCGAGGGCGTCGCGACCCCAGGAACCATTAGACCAGAAGCCCGCAACGTAACAGAATCGCATTCGACATGGCTGACTGGGGTCTCGTCCGAAGTCCCGACCAATCTCTCTCTGGCGTCATGGCTGCTAAAAAGTGCCGTAGACTAATGGATCATAAAAGACGTAAGGGCCAACGTGGGACTCAGGCTTGGCCTTGAAGATTCAATGATGAGGACTGAAGGATGATGGGGGACATGGCGGGTGGGTAAGAGCTCGTCACACCCCCAATTGTAATCTTTTCTTTTTGGCCATTTCAACCTGTTCGTTCCATCTTCCCGCAAGGTCTACCCCTGCTCACCGTCGCTTAACTGAGTCGCTTGGGCCCTTGTCGAGCAGCGCCGTCACCGCGCTCGCTCGAATTGATACCGTCATGTTTTGGGATGGTATGGACGACCCCAGCACCTGCACTCCAGTCTCTCGACAAAACTTGAAGTTTATGTGACTTGAGGCTACGGATAGCCATTTAGACGTGAGTGTATTTAGATCAAGAATCAGCTCGAACCTCGTGCTGCAGAGGATTGTCGAGCGAACAAACGAGCCCAGATTGTCGTCTAACCACCTGCCAGAGCGGTTGCGACCTTGATCATGCATCACCTTCAACTTTCTCTCTAGCGGACCGTCTCACAGATGGCAACTTGCGGCCTGTTTTAGATACTATGTCTGAGAAGAGCTGTTCCCACAGGACTGGAGAATTCTACATGGTGGAAATGAAGGGGATTCATTGAGGTATATACCAACAACCTTTGGCTTGGGAGACCAGGAATAGACGCCTATTGAAGATGCCAAGAAAGTGGTATGGAGGAGGATTACTAGTGGGGAAGATACCACTAGACAGGTGGCTGGTAGTGCGAGTCTCCAAGACCTGATCTATTTCTTGAGCAGAGAGATTGTCGTAGCTGAGATATGGCTGTTCGGCTTCCTGGCAAGACTGGGACAAAACGACATTCTGAAGCAGATATCGATGCATGGCAGTCACTCACTAGCATGGTGGAGCTACGTTAGGGACGATTCACAACGCCCATATCGCAGGAACATTTGGGAGGTGAGGGGGACCAATAATATATTCTACAGTTATTATGTGACTACCCATCGAGGCGTATTCCGTTTAGCCACTCGTCATTAACTTGCACTTGTTCCAGCCATTTTTGATGATCCTAGTGTGATGGTATCAATTTCACTGTTTGAGATGTGGGCCCAGGATAAGATTGCTGGTACTTGTTCTGTCTAGATGACAACTGTGGACTGTAAATTAGAGCCTGGCCCCATCCAAGCGCTGATCCTCCCGATGAGTTGAGTCGGAGCCATGTAGAGATAATAGCCATCGATACCCAGAGCTGTGTTTAGGCCTATTCGCAGCTTTGCTAGCCGTAGAAGCCGATATCAGCAAGTTGTAGTAGCTGAGTCGCGAGACGCGTGCCACTCTTTTTGAACATGATGCTTGTCAACGGAGCAGATACCCTCTGCCTCCACAGAAAGTCCAGAACGCTAGTCTGATGCAGATTACGAGCTCTTTAGAACAAGATACTCCGCTGGGCAGCGTGAGAGGTCGGTGGACAACGGCAATGCAAAGATACAAAAGCCGAGCGACTGATGCGGGCTGAGATGTTGGAAATGGTGGCAGGTCGTGAGGCACCATTACATGAGGCAGTGGTTGTGGAAAAGGCCGACATCTGCAGGTCGACGGTAGTGCTCGGAGGCTGGCAATGGAGATGGAGTCCGCGAGGCGCTTTGTCGAAATGACAAGACTCGCCTCCACATTTCCGCGGGAAGGGCTGAGATTCGCTGTTACCGCTCTGCTCGCTAATCTAACGCGGTGCGGCGAAGGCTGGGTGAGAGGCGGCCGGTGACTAAGCGCTCAAGCCGTAGCCGCTCAGACTAGACGGAGACTCAACGGCTCCTCTCTCGCCAAGGCGCTTAGCACTGCAGACGCCACTCGTCGTCTTGTCATGGAACCTTCACGCACGGAACTACCAAATCGGGCCTTCGCTCGTGCGGAAACAAAAGTCGATGCCACGCGCCCGTCATCACGACTAGAGACTTTTGTGGCCAGGGAAGATTCGCCATTTTCCCAAGAGGATTTAAGCCGACCTTGGGTCTCACTCGCTCCCGAAAATTTGGGCAAAGTGTGCTGGGACGGTCGGGAGAATACACTAGCGGGCGCCTACTGCGCTAAATGGGCGGCAGCTATGAGATGACGGAAAAGCCGCCTCTCCCTCCCGACGAGCTCGGGAATGAGCGGAGTCGAGCCTCCAACCTACCATAGAGACATCCCATCCACCTAGGCTTGAGGAACCGAGGTCGGAGTTGCGGCGGCGAGGAGGACTTTACGCACGATGACTCGACAATCAGATGGATGCAAAGGCTAGAGAAGCTGAGATGGACTTTTTCAGCCACGCCGGCTCATCGCTCGTCTTCCCCGCGCACACTCGGAAGTGGCTCGGCCCAGCATCTTGTATGCAAACACGAGATGCTGTTGGGACGAAGTGGTGAATCGGCAAGTCCCCAATGCCAAGGGCCTCGCCTTTAAGCGGAGCATCGCCTGTCTCTGCGCCTCGCCGCAGCCTCCGCTTGCCGTTTGGAGCCGTATTTTCGGGCGGCCTCGCCTTGACTGGAATTCTCTGCGGGCCAACGACGCTATGTGGTCGTGAATGTCTGGCCAGCGCCAGCTCAGAGTTGACGAGGGGATAGCCCGGCCGAGTTTGTTGGCGTCGCGACGAAAGGTGACGGGCAGGTCTCACGAGAAGCGGGCCCCATGCTTGGTGGCTTGCAGTGAGCAGTGGCGCTAACCGGGCTGGGCTAAAGCCTTGGTCGGGCTGGCAGGGGAAGTCACGGCATCTATTGGCAGAGGCCGCATGCACGGGCTGGCAGGGCCAGTATTGGGGATTCACTCCTCGTGCGGGGCGGTGACTCGGGGCCGCAGACCGCCATGGCCGAGTATTGGGCGCATCGGGCCAAGGGCGCGGGTTCACCTTTAGTGTTGGGCAGAGTGCCTGGGATGCAGGGCGATTCAGGAGAGCATTTCACGTCTGCAGTCAGCCAGGCGGCGACGCGCGGGGCCAATGAATTACAGCTAATCATCTCACTAAATTACTAAGCGCCTTGTCCATCCCTTCCTAATCAGTCCATGCATGCCAAGCATCGGCCGTGGCTACCGCGACGCCAGTGTGGCTGGTCGGGCGAGCGACGGTCGGCTCGGTGGGTATCGCTCGTAGTTGTGCAAAGAGGCCTTACCTAGCCGTCAGGGCGAGGGGCTAGAGGGGCCGCATGCGTTCGTCGGCCACGCGCGAGAAGCTGGCCATGCCCATTCCCATTCCCATACCCATGCCCATGCCGAGGGCGCCGAGGCCGGCGGCGGCCATGTGGCCGTTAAGTTGGAGATGAGGATTGCAGGGTGGCGAGTGCTGTTTGTGCTTTGAACGCCAACACTGGTTAGAGATGTCTCTACGACTACGGGGTCAGGACCTACATATTTGAGTCCATTGAGGTTCTTGTAGCGCTTGCTGCAAGAGTCGCACTTGTAGGGCTTCTCTTTTTCCATGCCCGTGGTGCCGGGGTAGGGTGCCGAGGTCTCGGGATTGACGATGGAGAAGGTGCCATCACCGTTCTCATGGAGCTGCTGGGAGTTGTGGCCGTGGGTCTTGTGGTATCTAGAGATAACAGTTAGCTGGGGCGGCCGATGGCGGAGAAGGGGAGACGGGCTTGAGGCCGTTTTGATTCTTGTAAGCCTTCTCACAGCCGATAACGGGGCAACGGAAAGGTTTGTGCTCTTCGGCGACCATCATAAGGGCGGCGGGCGGCTGGAGTCCCATAGCCATTAGGTGCTGCGTTGGCTGTGCGGCGGCGTCATTGCGGCTTCCCTGGGCACGCTCAAACTGCGTATACTGCTGCTGGATGCGCTGGTTGCTGATGCCGTTTGGGCTGTAGAGCCGCTTGGCTGGGTCGTCGATGCAGTAGTCGCTGGTAGATTGTTCGGGCGCGTAGGCAGTGGCATCAGCGTCGAGCTCTCCGCACGGCGTGGCCGGGCCCGATGCGGTAGGGGTAAAGGGTTGGCTCTGCATGGGATACGTGCTGAGCGACGGCGTGTTGACGGACGAGACGGTAGGGTTGTTCTGGTAGGCGAAGCCGGCTGAGGCGGGTGTCGGCGGCTGCGAAGTGCGAAGTCCGGCGTGCTGGAGACCGGGCGCATTAAGGTTGAGGCTCAGCCGAGGCGGTGGAGCCGGCGTCTGAGAGAAGAGCGAAGAGCGCGAGAGGTGACTCGACTGCGGCTCGTCCATTTCCATTCCCTCGACAGTCTCTAGATCGTCTGAGATGGGCGGCGAGTGCAGGTGAGACGAGCTAGCGGCGTGTTGCTGCTGCTGGCGCATGAGTTGGATGCCGCTGGGCGGAATGTGGATATTGGCCGGACGCGACCTTGCGCCGGTGCTCGTGGATTGGCGTGCGGCCGGCGCGAGGGAGACGTCACGAGTGCGGTGGCTAGTAGGCGGCGAGCGACGTAGGCCGGGCGACGTCTGTTGGGCGTGAGCTTCTTCGTAGTGCTGCAGGAGATCATGGAGTGTCGGCAGGACTTGGCCACAGCAGGCAAAGTCGCGCATGAAGTTGGCCTCGAGGTTGGGCAGGTAAGAGGAGTTGTTGTAGGAGGGCGACTGGTAGGGAAATGGCGAGGTGCCGGCCATGTTCACACTGTGTCGTCTGTTAGCACTCACATTGCGCCGTGCAAACGAGTGACTCACTCGTCACGAATATAGCTGCCGACGGAGAGGCCGCCCCAGCTCATACCTTGCACGTAGCTGCCGGCCAGGCTCTCGGCGAGGCCATCGGTAACATCGGGCGCATTCATAGCCATGGTGCTGAAGTAGGCCGACGTCTCGGGACAGTGGCCGCGGACAATGGCCTCGTAGGTCAGCGACCGTGTTCCGGACGAGGGTCGGCGTGGATGCGAGCCGTAGCGGGCGCGTTTCGAGGGCGACGACGGCGAAGCTCTCCTCGACGTGTCAATGTTGATGGGCGATGTGGTCGACATGAGGCTGGCAGGACGGCCACAACGGGCGCGACGTCGAGGGCGAGAGCTGGAAGGAGGAGGAGTTAGGGGAGAGCCGGTTGTGATGGTGGTGTTGGTGGTGTTGGGGGTAGTGCTGTGAGGATTCGCAGTCAAATCGGACAGAGAGCAAGACGGTTGAGGGACAAATGGGGGGAGAACGTCGTTGACAGCCGTATAATAACCCAAGTCGACGGCGGTAGACGCTGAGGGTGACGGCTGCGGCTCGTCCAATGGCGACGCGGCTTCAGGATCAGGGGCGGCGGTGGGAGGAGTCGCGGGCGCCCGGGATTGCGGCCAATGGCCAGCAGCGAGGCCCATGTTGCCGACAGTTTTCCGCGGCCTGGCGTGCAGGGGAGTGCAGGACGGCGTCAGCCTTGTGGATGGTTTACTTTAGCCTTGTGGGATGGCGCGCAGAGGCCAGAGGCCGGCTGAGTCCGGAGTTCCGGGCGTGTGGTCACGGTGCGTAGGCAGCGTCGACAGTGTCGACAGTATGGATAGCGTAGATAGGCGTAGTCAGGCGTCGTCGGAGATTTCAGCGACCCAAGATAACTGGCAATGAGACACAGCGGAGGAAATACTAAAGGGTCAAAGGAGCAGCTTCCGACCTTGCTTTTGTCTTGGAATCGGGGCGCCGGCCTGTGGGGCCTCGCCGGCTAAACGGATCGGCGTAAATGGGTCTCTGCAGGCGGCTGCGGCGGCGGCGGCGTCGTCGAGGATCAGGGCTAGGGCTAGGGCTGGGGCTTGAGCAGGCGGCCGACGGGGAGCCTGCTTTCTGGCAAGCTTCTCGAACCGCCGGCCGCCCGGCCTGGTCCCTGCGCCCACTAAAGCCAGTAACTGTCGCTGGCGTGGTAACAGGCGTCGTGGCCGCCAATGTTGACGTTACCACGTCCCCGTGGCCGCCGCCACCACCAGCGTCCGCCCCAGATCTGGTCGGCTCCCAGCGTGCCAGTGTCTCACCCGTCGCAGGGCGTGACGCCAAGAGGTTGCCGTTGCCATTGGCGTTTGCACTGGCACTGTCCTGTGCCAATTTGCCGGCGTCGCTGCCCTTCATCCTCTACCTCCAACAGCGCGCGCGCATGTGTCCCCGGACGAGCTGCACGCACGGGGTCCCCAGCTGGCAGGCGGCGCCGAAGACGACGTCGCCTAGTCCGGGGCTCATGCTACCCAGCGACGCGCGCCAAACGGGGCCGCTGCCTATTTGCTGCTGCCCATTTCCTACGTCCTAGTACATATTTCCTTTTGACAGCGTCTGCCGACCGTCGTGGCCTCCTCTCTGCTATGCAGCCCGCGACCCGGCGGCCGCTCCGGCGGTCACGAGTCCGCTCTCGCATCCAGTGGCCGTCTCGTCTGCTTCTCTCCTGAGGCCGCCACCATCTCATGGATGCCCACTACAGCTCCGACCTCCTCGCCCGTCCCACATGCCGTGACAACGGTCAACACGTGACCTCCTTGCTAGTCACGGAGGTGGATGTTATTGGTCAATGCCTTGCCGACCCGCCACTGCTAATTTGCATGTTATCGGCGCCTAGATTCGTCATATTTCATCCGTCCCCAATATCAGAGATCGTTTCGCCTCTGCGTTTGATTTATCCCATTTATCTGTATTCTTGCCCCCATCATCGTAGACTCAGACGTTATGCCGAACCTCGGACAGGGAATTTAGCCCGCGCAACGTCTTATGCTTCTATAGTGGATGGTCCACAGCTGACGACGCCGCGAGTACCTCAACTCATTCCATCACAGATCCGCCCAGCCTAAACCGAAGAGGGGAGATTAAGCAGCTGAGGCGCTATCACCAGTGTGTCCTAGTCCTCATTAGCTTCAGCTCCATTCCGCGCATCTCCACATTGATAGCCTCAGTCATACCGTTCGCTTGCCGCGCTTGGATAATAAAGGCGACGCTTATATAAGCAGGTAAATGATTGGTGTCACGGCGTCCTCGCTTGTGCCGCCGGCTCCACGGAATCGTCGTCGCTTGGAACGTTTAGCCTCTGACCGTCAGTGCAGTGGACACGACGGTTTCGGTGCTCCTCCTCACCCACACCACGCTCCATCGCCAACAATCATCATCGTCACGCCCCCACACCCAGAAACTGACCAATCTCTCGGAAATAGCTTTTAACATGGAGGTCAATGCTAGATCTATAGTATTCCCAAGCGTTTGCGCGCCTTTCCGAGGCGGATGGCTAGAGGGGCAACAGCCTTCGAGGAGCAGGCCCCACTGCTAATCTCGACACCGCATTCCTGACGGCAGGAAATATCCACTTCGCATGAGTCTGAATCTAAGGCGTGGCGGGAAGCTCTCAAAAGCCTCGCTGCCCATCTACAACGATACGATGTCCGAAGCTTTGACTCTTCATCACCCCTTCCACCGCACACGTTTGTGCGCACTCAAATTACATTGACAACATTACTTCACACCTACCTGAATAAGTGCGCTCATGTCAGATACGGCTTCGTTGTCACCAAAGCGCCCTGTATCTTCGTCTGACTTATCAATGCTGCCTCTGAATCTGTTGGTGGCGGCCAGAGAGCTGCTTCGGTCCTGCCCCATATCCCCGCCGAACACTCTCACATCATCTCTCCGCCCTCGGACGACTTTTGCGCTACATTGCCCTCAATATCCTGCCCCATAATCCCCTTGCAGCACCATTCCAGCTATTACTCCTCTTTCCAAGAGGACTGATTTGTGATATATTCCCATGTTAGCGGGGGCGAAGAAGCCATGGATATCTTTGTAGGTGCGACGACACCTGTCTACGAAACATTCGTCACGCTGCAAGCCGCATCCTCGGAAATAGAGCGCCTTACTGGCTTGTACCAACATATGTTCAAAAATCACTACGCCCAGGTAATGGAAAGGTCAAGCCCCTCTCCATCCAAATAAATCAACAAACCCTGCAAGCTTGCGAATCTTGGAAATTACGATTACCTAGCCCATAATCATCAGACAGTTTGAGGAATCAGGCAACACGCCCACATGCTGCAACCACCACAAATCTACCACCTGGTGCTCATACCTCCCACCTAAAGGGAAGCTAATCTACTTGTACACACTTCCAGCTTATTTTCTCCAAATTTCTACCATCTGCACAATCATCTGATCGGCTGTAGCCTGTGGCAAATTTGTCGCCTCAATTAGGCCTTGCAAACCATGTTACGTTAGTCGTATCCTACAGTGCCATGGCAATGACCCTTTACGAGATTAAATGGCACTAGAAGCCGTAATACCAAGGCGAAAGACGGGCTAAGGACATGCAGATAATCCATCTTCCTGGATAGGACTTTGCATGAACGATACAATGTAGTGTCTATTGTACTTACAACGGTAGAGCCCAAACACTCCTGCGAACCTAGGAGTGATAATTTTCTCCGGAGTTGTGATTCAATCGCGTTATAGGGTGTCATTACTTCGGTTTGACGCAGTGTTAGCAGAAGAAAGTTGTAAAGAATCTTCATCCTGAAGATTCTGTGGCCAGCATCAAAACACTATCCAGCCACCCTTTTTGCATGGATCAATTTCAGTCCGAGAATCGTATCTCAACCAAAGAATTACCGTTTGAGGGTTTAGTTGCTAACCTTGGCGTTAAAGGGGCCGTTGAGTAAGCAGTGCCATACAAGATATAGTTGCTACATGTTTAGAGCTTATGTAAACTAAAAATCCAAAGATCCAAGCCGTCCCATATTCCATTAATTATAAAACCAATTTACTCACAGAAATTACTTTTTAACCGATTAGTATCGCTTTCAAGCTCACAGTATAATTGCTCTCTGAAATAATCGAAGAATATTGTTATAGCTAATACTGGAAACTACGATCCTAAGAATCTATCCAATTATTGCATCAGGAAATCTTAAGCTAATGAGTGAAAACAATAATTAAGACTAGAAATACACAATTGAAAATATTGCTCGAGTTTATGGATTGCGAGAATTTTACCACACTAAAGTACTAGCGCCTTCAGTATTCGTAGAGGAGTTTGGTGGCGTTATAGAAAAAGATGTAATTGTATCATAAAATTGGACCAGAAATGGCTCAAAAGTGAAGTTGTGCACATCTAGCAATGTATCTTGATCGATCGCCAGTAAAATGAACAGGCTACATACAGCTAAAAAATCTAGGACATGCTGGCTTATCTGTACCAAAGCTTTGAGATTGTGCTGAATCAACGACCCATCGCCCGATAAATTAGGAAAAAGTTTTCTGATTTCTCGAATATGTATGGACTTGTTATCACACTTTTAAACGTCATTCATGCCCTGAATTTCCCTGAAAATTTCCCGCCTTACTCTTAACACCCCTCAATCTCCCTAGAAGCTGTCAAAGATTTGTTTTCCACGTCGACCGAAAGACAACGAGTGACTTTCGGAGGGAGGAGTGAAATTCCACTCGCCGATCTGGCTCCTCATGTCAAAGATGTAGCTTGTTCAGGATTAAGGTCCAGAGGTGGTCAAATGCCATTATAAAATAATAATAATGGGCATGTATGCAATTTGGGGGCAAGGTAAACTCGAAGGCCAGACTAAATTATACAGATTGTAGGATGTATCATAACTCCAAGGCTCGATGTAAGAAATGAATTATTCTGACAACCTCTAGCACAAAGACTTACGAAATCAATGGGAGAATAAACACAACAGTTTGCGGATGATTTTCACTGAACACAAGAATACTGAAAAAGGCTTCAGTAGAATGAATGGCAGTAACTGTCACAGCCATGAATACGACACTAGGAATGCATTGAAAATTCGTTACAGCCATATGATAGCAATGAGGTGGATGACAAAGGAGAAGTATATATCGGGGAACAGCGAGTAAAGACAGAATCAAATACTGACAAGTTTAAACCTCTTTATTTTCTGAGACAAAGCAAGAGAAAATATCTTAAATGCTTGGCATCTGGACTAGCAAACAGAAGTGCTCCAAGAGGAGAAGGAGGATAGAAGGTGTAGAGAACTTGGAAAATCCTACAGAGTCCAAGCCTGAATGCATTGAACGAATTCTCATAAAAATTATTCAATTTTAGGGGCCATGCCTGGATATTGAAATCATCGTTTTTCCAGGATAGAACTGGTATTGAAAGTATAAGAGCTTATCTCAGGATCATTGGAAAAGTTGAAGAAACTGGATGCAATGTTTACGACACAAAAAATCAAGCCGCTAAGAATTTGCCACTTTATTGCACAAGACTTTGGAAACAGAAAGACTTAGCATTCGCTAATATACAATCACAATCATTACCAATTTTAATGAGGACAAAGAGGAGGGGAAAGCCCGTCTAGAATTTGTGAAAGCATCAAAGTACATGTCAGTATACAAGGAGATGAAATAGGCACAGAAAAATCGGGAATGAAAGTGAATTGATATATGATGTTTGTTGTTGATTGGTGTAATTTTCCAAATTGTTAAAAATATAATTTAATTGTCATAGCTAGAAAGCTAAATACAATATGACTAGAAGAGCAAGTAAAGGTTCATGGGGTCTATATACACTTAACGCATTACCTGGCAATAACTGACACCCACAAACCTTCGATTGGATAGAATAACACTTACCAAAAACTGGTTGCCTCCCCTCTCGGACTCAAATACTAGAGCCTGGCAGGTTGACTAAAACTAACGAAGATGAAGTGTCCTGAGTATTCGGAGGTCCAACATCTATTGAAGCGTCTAGCTTCACGAAATATTTCTGAGCACTGGATTCCCGATATAGGCGCTATCTCGCAAATTACGAATTCTCTTTCCAAATCTAAAACCTACAAGGAATTGATATATTTAAAGCTAAAATATAACATTTTGATCTACTGAATGGAATATCTCTAGAGGCATGTATCAAATACACAATTGGATATCTCTCTTAAGAGGGTAGCGGCAGCGTTAGACTTATCGTTAATGTTCCTATTGCCAGACGGATAAAGCGCTACTCCTTCAATCTTGGTGACAGAATGGCTATTACTGACATAGTATGACGGGCTAGGACTATCGGCCAATGCACGAAAGCAATGACACAATTTAACGTTTATATTTTCTATGAAGAATTTAGGGCAGGGAATCTACGGCACTTTATAACTACAATGCTTGTTCAAGATCCTCTAGCTCTTTGCATATAATCTGATAATACTCCCGTTTAGTGAGTAGATTTACAAACTCGCTTGCGCCCACAAGATAAGGATGGGCCCTATAGCCTTAAACAACCCAGCCACAACCAACCGGGCCTAGCCCGTA